CCGTGCTGCCGCCGGCCCCGGGGCCGCTGAGCGGAGCAGCCCCGGCGTGCAGGGGGGCGGGCGCGGTTACATCGGGGTGGTTTAAAATCGGAAATGTCACACTCGGGGGCTGCTAAAATACAGTGTGCGCAGCGGCTCCGTGATCAGCCAGGTGATCGCACGGACTGGGGGAAAGGAGGAGAGAAATCACCCCGCCTTTAGGGCCAGCTGATTGCTCTTTCTTCTTCTTCAAAAAATGGGGTGTGTGTACTGTATATATTATGTATGTATGTGTGTATGTGTGTGTATACATACGTGTGTATCTACATGTATGTATATATATATGTGCGTGTATGTGTGTGTATATGTTTCTGTATATATGTGTATAGATGTGTACGTGTGTGTATATATATATATGTGCATATGTATATATATGTGTGTGTGTGTGTGTGTGTGTGTGTGTGTATGTATATATTAGGCTTGGCTCTAAGGCAACATCATTTTGCATTACTCAGTCATTTAAAAGTAGATGCACCGTTTCCCACAACAGCAATCCGTGGACCAGTCACTAAGCATTCATGCTGAAGAGTAAGGTGTTGAAAGGAGAGTGTTAGGCAATAACTGTTCATGGTCACCACTGTCAGGAACTGTGTCAGTGTAGTGTCTCAAGGCCCCAGTGGAGATTCTGCTAAGTGTTCTGGAAACATAACAGTACAGTCCCCAGCTAGAGCATATGCAATCTAGCTAGAGCATATGCAATCTAAGAGTAGGAGAAAAGAAAGACAGAGGTGAAGTGATTTTGTCTGGAGACAAGCGATCATTGGTTAGACCTCTTGATTCCTCCTGAACCACACTGACTCTGTAATTAAATAGTCTCTATTAGTTTATTCATGGTAAATGCCTGCATTAAGTAATTCTTGCAATATTTTTCAGGTGCGCTTAGTAATTGCTGAAAAGGCACTAAAATGCGAGGAACATGATGTTAATCTACCCCTGAGTGAGCACAATGAACCGTGGTTTATGCGTCTTAATTCATCCGGTGAAGTCCCTGTTCTTATCCATGGAGAAAATATTATTTGCGAGGCAACACAAATTATTGATTATCTTGAAAGCACTTTTGTGAATGGTAATGCTAAAAATATTTGAGTTTATGAGATTTTTCCCTTGCTAATAATATACAATAATTATGTATCTCTTGTAGAGCTCTGTTTATATCCACAGGATGTTTACAGTTCCAAAAGCAAACTGAAAATTCATGTTGAACTCCCTGTCAGAGTTTCTCACACACAGAAGATTGATGGTGATCTCCTTGCTAGCCTTTTGTTCAGAAAACAACTTCCCAGAGGACTGAGGGGTGTTGGTAAACTGAAAGTGCGCAGTGGCATATTGAAATAAATGAACTTTTTCAAATATATTTTAAAACATGAAAGTATTTTTATATCAAATGCCTTCAGTGTTCCAGCTGTAAGTGGTGCTGGGTACACCAGTTGCTTAGTCTTGGTCCCCTTTGGGCTTCAGGTCCCAGTAGAGCCCAGCTTCCTGCTTTCAGCACTGCCTGGGGGATGGGCATGTGGGAAGTGCATCTCCTGCTGCTTCCAGGCCCTGGGAGGGAAGCATGCAAGAAGGCATGCTCCTCTAACATTTTATAATAACCTTTCTGAATGATTGAGATGTCCCTTTCCAATGGGGTATAGGGATGTCTATTATACATTCACAGACTGTAACAAAAATGGGTGTCAAAAATGGATGTAAAAATGGATGTCTATGAAAATATTTGAAAATAATACATGACAGACCAGATTCTTTGGTATGCTTAGGCCTCTTGAATTCATGTGTGTGTTTAGTTGGATAGGGATAGGAACACTCAAGTGCTTGAGATCAAGTATATGCTTAAATGTTTTACTGAACTGGGGCTCTAGAGCTAACAACATACAATAATAAGGCTTTTTTCACGATGATCATGCCATCTGTGCTAGTTGGAAATAATCATAATACTGCTTTGAGGAAATAGTCATAATACTACTTTGAGGAAATAGTCATAATACTACTTTACCATATTGCATTTCATTTTGTTTTTAATTTCTTAAATATATTTCAGAGAAAACACCAAGACTAATGCCAGAAGATGGAAGCATGTATTATCCAAGAGTGCAGCACTATAGGGAGCTTCTGGATTCCTTGCCTATGGATGCCTACACACACGGCTGTATTTTGCACCCAGAATTAACTGTGGATTCCCTGATTCCAGCTTACGCAACAACCAGAATTCGTAGTACGTATTCAATGTAATATGAAATTACTGCCATTTAACAGATTTTGCTTACATGATTCTAAGCATATCCTGTTCTTTTAAAGGTCCTTGATATCTGAATAACAATATAATATTAAAAAAAATGATCCCATGCCTACTCAGATACACAATATGTTGTTGTTGGAAAAGATTTTTAACAGATGGATGTCTACAGCTGTGCATTTGTATAGCTGGAAGCAGCTGGGTGATCAGGATTTTTGAATATGTGAACACTTAATTACTGTATTGTATGGTATATAGGTAAAAAAACCCAAACAACAGTATAAGCCAACTCCATATTTCTGTAAAAAAAGTTAGGATTTTTGTATGTCCATTGTATAAATCAAACCTACCTCAGTGCCTGGAAGCCTGGGTGGGCTTGTGGGAGAGGTGGCATGCTGGCAGGCTCCTGGGAATTGGATTGGGCCCCTGGGAGTAGCCAGGGCCCAAGCTTACCTGGCTATTTGGGTAGCACACGGCCTGCTGGCAGCTGTGACAAAGAGGGGGGGGTCCCTGGCTAGCCACAGAGCTAGCTTCCCACCTGCCTCTGGGCACATCGCCCACCTGTCTCACCTGCCATGCCTTGCTGTTAATTAATTAATAGTTGTTAATTAAGGCAGGAGGCTGCTGATTGTACACCCCGATATTGCGGGGGGGTTATCTGCAGCTCTGTTCCATCCCTATACTGTGGCCCAAGCCTTGCAGATGGCATCTCAGGCAGTTGGCTCAACCGTCCCCTTCGCCCATTAGCTGTGGCCTCACTCATGAGACCTTAAGCTTCTATAAGTCCTGGCCCCATCTCAGGCCAGTCAGGACCCTGAGCTTCTTCACTCATCATGGGCATTCCTCGCAGTTGACCAGTCGAGTGCCTCGGGGTGGGTTTTCACCTCCTGCTTGCAAGGGATCAGGGTTCCCCATTCCTGGCTCAGGTGCTCCTGGAAGCATGCCTGGCCCTGAGGGGGTCACTCCCCCAGCAGGCTCAGGCACCTCCAGAAGCTTACCTGGCCTACCCTGCTCTGGTGGAATATGGCCCATCTGAAGGTGAGGCCTGGGGTTAAGGTGCCCCTACTCGCTTTTCACTGGGGTGGTAACTGGCCTGGCATTTCCTGGGGGCTCCCGTGCCACTGAGAGCCCCACCAGGCCACTCACTCCTGGCAGAGTGCAGTTTTAGGTCATGCCCAGGACCAGGAGCCTCCAAACCATCCTCTACATCTCCTGCCCTTAAGCCCAGGATGTTGTATTCTGCCTGGCCTGCCAGTAGCGAACTGCCCTGTCTATACAGGCAGCCATGGATCTAAAATGGCTGCTGCAATTAAGCATCTGCCAGCTGCTTGGCTTGGTTCTTAAAGTGGCCAGCACCAACAGTGCCCTGCCACAGCAGCCCATCTGGCCCATCCAGAAGGACTGGGAAGTCCCAGTCCTTCTGCAGAGGGAAGGACCGGGACTTCCCATTGCTCAGGGGCTGCCCAGCCCAGTGACAGCTCACCCCCTGGGTGTGGGACAGGCAGGGAGGCTCTGCTGAAAACAGGATCGGGCACCTCGCAGCTTCTGTCTTCAGCAGGCACCTGCAGCTGGCAGGATGCCTGGTGCTACCTGGGAAGGGGCTGGCTTGAAGGGAGGGGGAGGGTAGGGGTGTCATGCAGGGCTCCCCCACTGCCTGCCTCCCCCCACAAAGGCAGAACTGGCATGGGGCCCAATTCTGCTTTCAGTGGAGCCTCCCTGCCTGCCTCAGCTGGTGAGTGGGTTGCCGCTGGACTGGGCAACCCCTGAGGTGCAGGGCATCTGTTCCTTCCCTCTGCAGCAGCGAAAGTGGAGGAAATGATCTTGCATTTACTGCAGGGTAAGAGCATGCACAGAGGCAGTTAGCATGGAGTGGATTACATGCTGTAAACTGACACTGTAGCATACTTCACAGAGACTTGCTCATGTAGCCATGTCCGTTGTTTCTTTTGATGGCTGAAACTTTTGAATGAGTTGGGCATTTTTGGAAATGGAACATAATTCCTAAGCCACTTGGGCAATTTTGAAAATTTTATTCAGTAGCTCCAAATCAGGGATTTTAGGAAACTTCAGTTCCATTTTCCCAGAGCTAGTAAATGTACAGTCATTATGAAAGGATTCATTGAAGGCTTTAGCTATTTTGGGGATGGGGGGTGAACCAGGAGTAATTCACTGTTTTAGAATGAAGATGTCTTTCGTCATATACCTTGGTAAAATCTCTGGGTTGAACATGACCATCATGTACAGTCATGGTCTCATTTGACTTCAGTAGAAGCATGAGCACCCTCAGTAGAGTAACTAAGGGTGGACGAGAGGATCACCTGCCCTGGGCACCAAATTAGGAGGGGTGCTGGAATTGCCTTCTATTACCACAGAGTTCATGCCCCAGCTGCATACCCATGCTGGGAACTTCAGTATTTCCCAGCTGCTGCTGCTGCTGCTTTGAGATTAACAGCTGGGACGGGGCAGAGTATGCGGGGGCAGCAGCTGCAGTTCAGCCATGAGTAGGTATGGGTTTAGGAGTTCGTGGCACGGGTAACACTGCTGCCTCTCCCCAGCTCCACTCTCAGAACCCACATGCCCCACAGCCCCTCCCCCAGAACCCATGCATCCTGTGTCTCTCCGAACCCTGTGCCCTCTGCCCGCTCGTTCTTGGAACCGCATGCTTGTTACGCCACTGAGAACCCTTCGGAGTTTCAAGTTCCATTGGACTTTGATTTCCATTGGACCTTGCTCTACCTTTGCATGCTAGAATAAAGAGGCCTTCTATTACCAAATTTCTGTTCCCTGTTTACATACTTACTGCCTGTAGACAAATCACCCTTATTATTTTTTCTTAAATGAAATAGACTCACTTCCAGAAGTGTCTCCATATAAGGTTTGTTTTCCAACCCTGTAATCATTCTCATAGCTCACCTCTGAACCCTCTATAATTTTTCTGCTTCCTTCTTGAACCACGGACACAAAAATAAATACAGTACAGCTGTAGTGGTTTATAATACAGTGCCAAATACAGAGACAATTGTTTATATATCTCCTGCTTATATATCTAAGACTGTATTAGGCGTTTTGGCCACGGTATCAGAGTTAATGCTTATCAGCGATGATTCCGAAGTCTTTCTCAATGTTAACCTGGTTCCCAGGTACAGTTTCTGATTTTGAAAGAATGGTCTATATTCTTTGTTTCTAGATATATGACTTTACATTTGTCTTTATTGAATTCATATTGTTTGCATAACCCCAATTTATCAAATGATCCAGATTGCTCTATATTACTGACTAATTGCTTTCATTATTTTTTACTCTTCTATTTACTGTCACATTAAAGCTTTATTAGTAATGGTTGTATGTTTTGTTCCAGTTCCTTCATAAAAATATTAAAATAGTATAGGGCCAAGAATCACTCCTGGAAGGACTCCAATGGAAACACATTTGCTCAGTGATTATTCCCTGTTTACAGTTACATTTTGAGGTCTCTTAGCCCATTTTTAATTTATTTGCTGAATGTTGTGTTGATTCTTTATTTTTATAATTTCTTAACCTATCACATGGTGCAAAGTCAAAGTATATTTTATCTGCACTATAACATTGACAAACCAAGCTTGTAATGTTATCAACAAATAATAGAAAGTTTGATCACTTCTATTTTCCATCAACTTATCTTGATTAGCAATTCTTTTAATTATTTAAATGCTCTTTTAATCTTATTTGACTTTTTTATTAATTGACTTAGGAGCTTTTCCATTATTTGGCCCAGGACTGAAACCAGGCTGATATGCCTATAACTTGGATCACCCCATTTATCGTAAAATATTGGTACAACATTAGCTTTCTTCCAGTTCTCTGGAATTTCTCCAGTATCCCAAGACACACTAAAAACCAGCCGATGCCGGGACTGCTCCGCCTACCCACCCTGGGGCGCTGGCAGGGATGGAGCTCAGCATCTGGCCCTGTACCCCTGTTCCCATTGTCCAGCTCTAACCTCCGACCAATTTGGGTGTGATCCCCTTCCCCCCTGGTGGTTTGGGTCCGGGTCCAGGTCCAGGGCCACTCCCCAGCTGCCATGGCGGTCCTGACCCCATTCCCTCACCCCCTCACACTGCTGCCACTTCCTCCATGGAGCAGTGGGGGGACCAGGCCAGCTGTGCTGGCCTGGACCCCCCCCAATCCCCTTTGTCCACACCATCATGGTGGCACTCCACCACCTGCTGTCTGGAATGCTGTTGGAGCATTCTGATTGACCGCCCTGACAGTCAATCAGAGTGCGAATAAAGCGTTACAGACAGACAGACAGACAGACTACGGCTTTTATAATATTAGGATTTATTGTTATCAATTTCTACCTTTCTTATTTTTAATTTATTTATATTATTATTATAATTATATATATCTATATTTAGCTATATCTATATATCTGTGTGTGTGTGTGTGTGTGTGTGTGTGTGTGTGTATACACACACACACACGCACGCACGCACGGAGAGAGAGAGAGATAGTGTTGGCATGTTGTAGCTATAACGGTCCAGGAGTGTACGAGAGTTAGGGATTTGTTTTGCAATAACTTGTGTTGGACTAACTATATAGATGAGAGAGAAGTTTTAGAGGCTTTTGGACACAAAGTACCTGCAGCAGGGACCTGGTCCTCCCCTGCATTCACCAGGGCAAAGACTGCCATGGCATTCTATGGTTCCCAGGATCCTGGGCTGTCCTAGCAGTGGGTAATGAGCCCATGAACAGGCTTCACGCCCCCCTGCATGCTTGCCCCTAGGATAGGGCAGGGAAGTGGCAGGAGGTGCACTTCCTGTGTGCCCATCCCCTGGGCAGGACTGAATGCAGGGAGCTGGGCTCCACTGGGATCTGGAGCCCAGAGGGGACCAAGACTAAGTAATAGGTGTACCCATCACCACTTAGAGCTGGGATGCTGAAGCTGCAGCCACTATTGGTCTCTGCAGGGGCTCTCAGAATTTGCCAGCAGCCGCAAGGCACGTGGAGACACGAAGGGGTCTGGGTTAGCTCAGGCCAACTTGGAACTTCCCTTATAGGGCAGCGCCAGCCCTAGTCCCAGAGAAGGGGAGGCGCTGGTGTAGGCACTAGGCCATGTTGCTTTCCTCCAATGGAGCCGAGGACATCTTGTTGGAGACCAGCTCAACCCTGACTCCCATGGCAGGATCCTGAACACCCTTGCAGACACTGGAGGCCAGGTACCTGCAGGAACCTCACAGGAGTTCCTAATACCTGTGACCCCAAATTACCCACAGAGGTTGGCCTGCTACAGGCCCACTCTGTGATTTAGTCTCATGACTGGGGGCGAACTCTGAAGAATCTCTGTTGTCTGAGGAGAAGGCAGACACACATTACAGGGCTGAAGCTAGGCCCGTAAGTAGGCAGTAGGGGTGTGTGAAACGGGCCGTATTTGATTAGGATTCAGATTTGGTCCGAATCAGGGACAGTGATTCAATTCGTTGATTTGGATCACTGTCCTGATTTGATGCAGCTGAATCCAAATCTGAAGATTCGATGCTGATTTGAAGAATCAGCAATTCGGCTTTAAATGTTTTTTCTACATACCTCGAGGTACCAGGCACGGCTTGTGATGCTGTGATGGTGGGGTGGATGGAGCATCCCACAGGAGTGTGGGGAGGGGGGGTGGGGCCTGCATGCTCGGTGGTGAATCTGGAAGTGGGCCGGAAGTACTTCCAATGCACTCCCAGGTCTGCCACCAAGCACATGGGGGCCCCCCCGTGTCCCCCTGGCTTGGCAATTGCCTGTTGGGGGTTCCCTGGGTGCCCCCGCTAGGCCCAGGAAGCACTAGTCACCAAGCTGAGTGGTGGTGGTGGGGGGGGTCCCCCATGTGCTCCCTGATGGACCATGAAGTGGAAGTGGAAGTGAAGTGGAAGTGTTTCTGGTCCACTTCTGGGTCTGCTGCTAAGCACACTGGGGACCGCCCCCATCCCACTGTGCTCCTGTGGGATGCTCCATGTGCCCCAGCATCTCAGCATTCACGAGCCACCTGGTACCTTGAGGTATGTAGAAAAAAAACATTTAAAGCTGTGTCTATGTCTGAATTATCAAATTTCTCTGAATCTCTCCGAACCAATCTGTAGGGCTCCAATTTGATTCAGAGAGATTAAAGGGTCTCCTGATTCGATTTGGATTCAGAGATTTGGCTGCCGAATTGGGCCAAATCTCCACCAAACTGAATTAGCAAACGAAGCTTCACATAGTCCTAGTAGGCAGAGATGATTATTTACGTTATATTGCTTTATTAATTTCTGTGTGTGGATGGATGTTGTTGGTGGGAGAGCCTTACCAGAGTCACAGGGCTTGGCCAGCTCATGTTGGTCCCAGATTGCTTTGTTTTTTTCTTCTTACATGGGATCTTTTGAAGACAGACAGACACCTGGAAGGGCCAGGGATCTATCTCAATCACCAGAACACCCGCGTGGACAGGGGTAGGGTGTGAGGGAGGCGGAGCATAACAGAAAATGCCCAGACACTGCGACATCATGGCAAACCCCATACGGTCAGGTACCAACTCCCAATAGCCTTTGTATTAAGGTCATGGCAGGTGGGATATAGAAAACAGGGTGTGTACAGTTTGACCCAGCTTTGAACCAGAGGTGGAACACACTGTGAGACATCAGTGAGGCATGGGACACATATAGGGATGGTAGGAGCGTGTACTGATAGCCCACAGTCATTTGGGTGCACGAAGGGCAGCCTTCCGCCTATTTAACATGACAGTCATTTATCAACAAGACGTGGCAGGAGAGCAAGTTGGGTGGTTTGCCCAGAGACATACTAGTAGTGGGCCTGGAAGGTGCCTTTGTCACAGATATCACAGAAAATCCTTGCACCTGTAAAATATGTACACCTCCCCACCCCCACCCACATGTGTGTGTATTTATGTATGCATGTATATATATTTGAATAATATTACATAGCATTAGGGAGTTGTTGTCTTCATTTCCTGCCAGGCCGAATTTTTAATCAGTATAAACTTCTTTCTCAATTGTGTGATTGGGAATCTAATAAAAAGTTCCTAAGAAACTCCTAATTATCATCACATATTTTGTTTCAGTTTTTTCTTCCAGATAATTTGGCTCACAATTGTTTTGAGTAATTTTATATTGTCTCTTTTAAAGTATCACACTTATGTATTACTGGGCATGTCTACATGAGACACTACATTGTAGTAAGCTATGGTGATGTAGCTCATTACTACAGTGACATAGCATCAGCGGGCACAAACTGTGATGTCAATGCTACACCACCATGGTAACCAGTGACGACATAGTGTTTAAAAATAATTGTGCACTGCCGGGACTGATCAGTACCGCTGGGTACTGTGTAGTCATTTAGTACTTGCTAAACCAAGTTCTAAATGACTGTGCAGTACCAAATGCGCAGTCAGGGGCACACGTAGATGTGCCTACTGATTAGCATTTTATCTGGTTACACAGCAAATGTAATAAAGTCAGGATCCTTTATGCCTATTATCTTTCTGCTCTATATTCAATTCCTTCAAAATATACATGCGGAATATTGTCACGTTCCATATTCATGGCCATGTGACATTGAAACAAAAAGCATATAAAATAACTGGTTAGCATTGTTTAATAACACTATTACTTCAGGTTAACTCCGCAGACTTCATTTAAGTTAGTCCCAATTTCCCTAGTTCAAGGTAAAGAGAACTCAGGCCCTGTGTTCAGTTCATTATTGAAGATATTAGTTTTTATTCAAGACTTTCTTAGTCATGACCTAATGTTTGACGTTCTGGATGTGTAAATTGGGAAGTCTCTGGCCAGTTTCATATGAACTACAACCTTAAAGAGTGAAGATGTTATTTCCTGTATAACAAAAAATAAATAGTAATCTCTTTCCAAGTTTTTCACTCCACCTCTTCTTCCAAACTTTGTATCTTGGGGCATCTTGGTTCAGGTTTTAAAAGGTGTTTCAACCCAAAAGATGTCTGCCATGGAGTTAGGTGCCTAACCTGGTTAGATTTTAAAAAACCCAACAACTGGACCCCTTGCTGCATTTTTAGGCATCTAAATACCTCTAAAAATATGTAAACATATTGGCACCGCCCTAAATGATACATGCAGAACTATAACAGGCTGCCTAAATCCCATCCCTGTTCGCTGCCTATATGCACTATGCAGCATAGCGTCTCCTTACAGCAGGAGAAAAGTAGCAGGTGACATTGACCAGTGGTACAAGAGTCAGATGACCACCACCCACTATATGGACATCAACCAGTGCACTGTTATCTCTCATTGAGAAACAGCTTTTTGTCTTCTATCACACCATTGACCACATCCCCAGAATCATTCAGAACTACCCTCTGGCAAAAAGAATGGGAGAAACTAGGCAACAAACATGTTGAATGGAGCTGGTGAGGAATTACCCCTAGTAAGGATCTAGCATCCAGCTCCAACTACAAATGGCATACATGGCGGAGCCTGAACAGATTGAGAGTGGGTCTTGGAAGATGCAACTTTCTCATGAAATTGTGGGGTCTGTATGCAACTGACCGATGCATTTGTCATGAGAAGCAAACCATGGATCATCTCCTGAGATGTCCTATAGCACCACAATGCACCCCATAAGATCTGGCAACACCAACACCAGATACAGTGGCCTGTGCAGAATATTGGGAACAGACCATGTAGCAAAGTTGTATTGGAGACCTGACAAAGACCACCTCTAAAAATCTTGCCTTTTGTGATTTTCAGAGTTGCTCAAACTCAGTGGGAGCTCTGTATCCACAGCTTCTCTGGAAATCATGGCCAAAGCATCCAAAATTGAGGATCCAAAAATAAAGCACACAAAATTACAGTACACTTTTCACAACTTGGTTGAAAATATTTTCAGGAGTGAAGTTTGAATGTTTGTGATAGAAGTAGAGCTGCTTAATATGTTCTGTTACTTTAATTGTCCTTCTTTCTTTTATTATAGATAACAAAACATTTTGTTTGAACTTAAGATCAAATGTATAAATTCCCTATCCTATATTCTTCCTCCCTTCAGCGTTTGATTCATGGCAAATAGAAAATGTTTTGGGATCCCTGGCTTATGCAACATTTCACTGACTGATATGGATGTTTCACGCAGGAACCATTTTCCATTTCTTCAGAACACTTACAATACTTTAACTATTTTAACACAATTTATTTGCTAATTTTTATGGATTAAAACATGAATATATTTGGTGATTTTATGTAATTCCATTTTCTGTTTATCAGGCCAAATAAGTAACACAGAATCTGAACTGAAGAAGCTTGCAGAAGAAAATCCAGACCTCCAAGACGCTTATATAGCAAAGCAGAAACGCCTTAAAGTAAGAAAACTCATGTCACACTGTTGGTTATACTGGAATTTTCCTGAAATGTTGATAAATGTTTTTTACCTGTTGTATACTTCATCAGGGGCTTACTTTTGCAAGATGTTGAGAACTCTGCCAAAGTATAACAAAGCTCTTATGTATATATCTAGTAGGGCTGTGCAAAACATTGCAGGGTGTTTTGTTTTGAAGCTGTTTCGACATATTTTGAGCTCAAAACAGCAAAATCTAAACTAAACAAAAGGCTTCAAAACAGCTTTGAAACAAAACAAGGCACTCGAAATGTTTAGAAAGTTTCGAAATGTTTTGAGCTTTGAAGCCGGGCTTACTTGGCTTCAGCGCTGGTCCCAGGTGGCAGTGGCAGCCTCCTTTTATACGACGTGCAGATCTGGGGGCCTGCACCCCAGGAGGGCTGCGGGGCTGTGCCAGACTCCTCCCAGGGATGTGATCCCCCGGATGTGCGTGCTGGATAAGAGGAGGCTGCCGCTGCCATCTGGGTGCAGCCCACTCCCAGCACTGGTCCCAGGTGGCAGAGGCAGCTTCCTCTCATCTGTGACACAGATCTGGGGGCTTGCACCCCTGGGAAGGCTGTGGAGCTATGCCGGACTCCTCCCGGGGGTGCGAGCCCCCAGATCTGTGCATCGGATGAGAGGCGGC